CCAACTCGGTTTATGACGTTTCGCCTAAAAAGGAATCGCTCTCCCTCTCCATCAAGAGAGAGAGGGAGAGAGACCCCCACCTTAAAGTCATCCTTTTAGCTTTAAATATTTATTAGCGCTCCTGAGGCTCTGTGTGTGTGTGTGTGTGTGCGCGTGTGCGCTGTGCAAAAGGCGCTTTGCCTTTCCTGGGCTGTGAAAAAAACATGACCATCCTCTTCCTACCCCCCTCTAGATCCAGGGTTCAGATTTGAATGAAATGAACTCCCTCCACTACATTCCTAGAGAAACTCTTTGGGGGAGGCAGGCAGGGCTGGTGGGTTTGCTTTTGGAGACCCCAGCCTAACGTTGCAGACGGGGCAATTAAAGCCTCGCATGTTGCCATTCTTGTAATAGGAACCGCAGCACATCGCTCCATGGGCAATAGGAGCCCTGCTTTTACGAAGGTGGGACTGGGGAAGGGGTTGAAGTGGGGAGGGGTGGTGGTAGAGGGGCCAAAGGCAGGGAGAGGGGATGACTAGTCTGTGATCAGTACGGGATCCGCCGGAACAGCCGGGCAATCGGGGCTGCCAGGTTTATGCTTGCTCATTGTCCATTGCAGGTAATGGGACTGCATCGAGCCTATTAGCCAAAGTGCTTGTCCCAGCTCCCAAAAGTTGATAGACTCCCTCGATGTTGTCACTGCGGTGCCCAAGCCCGCTCCGTGGCAATGTGTGTTTCCTCCCTACCCGACCGGGGAGCGGGACAGCGGTCTCATTAAGTGAAGATGCCTACTTAGCATATGTATTTAAAATACAAATCTGGCTAATGCACTATACCGGCTGGCGTACAGATATTTCATTCCCCAACATGCCCCGTCTCCGCGTATTAGTGTCAATTAACATTTAATAAATATCCATATTCATTACCAGAGATAGAGTTCTGACATCTTCTTGGGATCCTAATAAACCGGATGAATTTCAAGAATTAAAAGAAACAGGCTGGGAATCTCGCTGACTTCCAAGGGAGAAATTGCTTCCCAGTCTTACCGAGGCTTTCTCAGGCCACTACTAGAACATTATCCTGGGGAGATATGGTGTTTATTATTATTCTGGTTTTCCCTGAGAAGGGGCTGGGGTGAGTCGCTGTTCCATTGGCAGTACCGTGGGACATGTGAGCTCCGTCCGCTGCCGCTGGGAAGCTCCGCTTTCCTTCTGACTTGCCAGATTGCAACTTGATAGCGTCATAAGTAATGAGTTCACTTTAAGCCAAATATTCCGAAAGTGTCTTATTAGTAAACTGGAGAGGGGAAGAACTCTCCAGCCCGACCTGAATGCAAAAGGCAAGGGGGGAAACCCAGCTAGCAAAGACACCAGTTACCGTGCCCCTGATTTGGTGGTCAGTATTTTCCATTACCTGCTCCATAATTCATTCACTTTTACAGTTGATTTATCAAAGACCAAATATTTCTGGTCGTAAACACTTCATCTCTGCTTTTATCTGACTTTAGATTTAAGGACTCCCCTCCTTCCTTCTAATATGTGACATTATGTAGCAACAAGGCGAGGGACGGCTTTGAAATACTCCAAAGCCTGCTGGAGGAGAAGCCGGTCTATAAACCCGAAGTACTGGTGTTAAGTATTTCGTGGCTTGCTGTCCTTAAAACTCCAAGGCTACCTGCTCCTGAGGGCGGCCTCCCCCTCACCCCCTCCCCGCTTGCCCACTGCGTGATTGTGCTTATGGACTCTCACCAGCTAGAAGTGACAGTCCCAGAGATCCCCATTCACCAGCGGTTTATGGCTTTTCCTTCAGCGGAGTTTACAACCCGCATTCCACAGACCTGCACATTTTACTTTCTTGCCTCCTTCTCACAGCCAGCCTGGCTACTTCACTTTTTTTTCTCTCCCTCAGCTTGAATGACACTCTCTTTTCTTCCCTTAAATAATAAAAAAGAGCTCAGTGGAATGCTTGAGAGAGATGGCGAAGACTTATCTTGGCCATCCACGTCGCAATGGGAAAGTAGGGGAGGGGGGGACATCAACCACAAGCACCATGTTGTTGTATAATTATTTCCAATTGAACTCCAACAAATGGCACGAAAAAAGTGGCTCGGAGTCCCTTCCAGACCTCCTTTCACAGACATCTAAATAGTTGTGGTGGGGAAAATGGATAACTGTTGGATCTTTGTTTTATCTGGTTCCCATGTAGATCAAAATATTCCACTTCCCAAATGCTTGGCTTTTGCTGCCTCATCTTTCTGACAGATCAAAACAAAACAAAAGAACCAAAAAAACAAAACAAAACACGCACACACAGGCAGACACACACACACACACACACACACACACACACACACACACACGCACGCACGCACGCGCGCGCTTTCATCTGCCGGAGTAACATAATCCGTGTCAACCACTGGTTTCCAGGAGACCCGAGGAACGGTGTTATATCCAAGCCATTCCGTTAAATAATTAAGAACATTACACTCCGTCCACACGAGGTTCCCGATGACAGCTTTAAGAGAGGACAAATAGTTTGCCTGGGTTTGTAGAGCACAGCCTTTTCTCAAAGGAAAGCGTGTATTTATTTCCTTGCTTGATCATTAGAAATGTCTTGGAATAAGGGATGGGAGGGAGTGGGAAGAAAAAAGAAGCGGAAAGCATCTGGTTGATATTAAAGTAATAGAGAAGTTTCTGAAGTCCCCCCTCCACCTCTCTAGCCGAACAGACAAAATAAGGACATCTTTCCCTCCACCCACACCCCCCATCACCAGATTGAAAATAATTAGAGAAGTGCCGGTTCGGGGGCAGGAAGGGAGAAGGAAATAATCTTGCAAAATGAGAGGGGGGTGAAGGAAGGTCGGATCCTTAGCTGGTTAAATTGTCGGAGCTCACTGCAGTTTGGGCAATCGGCTACAGTTGAGGATGAACGTCTTGGTGCCTGAAGTAGTTGCGTTATGAGGAGGGCTAGTCAATACGTGTGTGTGTGTTTGTGTGTGTGTGTGTACACACACACACATATATATATATACACACATATATATATACACACATTCATGTGTATGTATATATGAGCGTGTGTGTATACACATATATATATACATATATGCACACACATATATATACATACATATATATATATACACACATATATATATACATATATGCACACATATATACCATATATATAGATACATATATATAGATAGATAGATATATAGAGAGAGAGATGAACGTCTCAGTCTCTGGAATCTCACCAGCCCAAGAGTTCACTGACTTCTTCTGTATTGTTTCACAGGGACCGACAGAAAGCGGGGCCGGCAGACCTACACCAGGTACCAGACCCTGGAGCTGGAGAAAGAATTCCACTATAATCGCTACTTGACGCGGAGGAGACGCATCGAAATCGCCCATGCCTTGTGCCTGACAGAGAGACAGATCAAAATCTGGTTTCAGAACAGACGCATGAAGTGGAAAAAGGAAAATAAAACCGCCTGCCCTGGTTCAAATAGCCAGGAAAAGCCAGACGCGGAGGACGATGAGGAAGAGTGAAAGAGAGAGATTGTGGGGTGGGTTGGGGAAGCAAAAAAAAATAAAAAAATAAAAAAATAAAAAGAAAGAAAAAAAGAAAGAAAGAAAAGGAATAGAGGACTTTAGTCCGGCAAGTTAATCCAGGAAACTAAACATCATGGAGCAGAAAGGACTATATATTAAAATCAATAATAAATGCAGCATAAAAACCTAGGGATGAGACTTTCTGTTTCCTGACACTGAAAAATATACTACCTATATTAAAGTCTTGTTTTGTTTCGTTTTGTACAATAGAATGGATGATACTATCTGCCTATTCAATGTGGCTTTAGAGTCAGACTAGATACATTTTTCTATGTGGGTCTTCATATAGTACCAGTATTTGTAAATCTCCCTGTTTGTATATCCTCGTGTGCTTTTTTGGTATGAAATAACGTGGTCGTGTTAGCACCTTTCACTAGAAAATGTGATCTGAGAGTCTGAAGAGAAATTATACATAGCGTCTCTAGTGCTCTGTATATACTATGAATTATCCTGGCGCCTTGTTCTTCGTAACCTCCGTGGTTCTTTTCTCGTTGCTAGGCTGTTTTTGTCTGTGTATATTTTCACCTGGACCACTCCCTTGTTCCAGTCACTAGAAAAAAAGATGAATTAATATTGTGCAGCGTAAAGCGATGTATATCAAGGTAGCAAATTATTTAATGGCGAGGAGTTTCTTTGGGGGTTTGGTTTGGTTTGTTTGTTTTTTTTTCCTGGTCTGTGACGATTATTCTTCGAAATAAAAAAACAAACTGATCAATACTCTAAAGCTGCGTTCGCTTTATTGCACTCCTGTTATTAAAATAATAAGAATAAACATGATAACACACATCATGGCCTGGTCATTTCTGGCTAAGAACATATAAAGGAATCCCTCTCTCCGCTCCTCTTACCCTCCGTCTTTTGCTTACCCCTGCGGACCCGCTGTGTCTAACATGACCGTATCCCCTCTCCAGAGCACTCCAAAGCTGTAGGCGAAATAAAACTCATAGCGGGAGAAAAAAGTAATGGCCAGTGGTGAAAACCGGATCCCCTAAGCATCAACCCGGTGGATCCTGCGGAAGGAGGGAGGGTGAAAAAGAGGACTTGAAAAGAGGCAAAAATCAAAATATTCTTTATTTTTTTCGTCCTACGGACTGGTTTCACCCTTTCCCAAGGAACCGAGATCGTTTGCTGCGGCTTTGGGGTTTGGGGGTCTCCTCCCTCTCCCCCCCACACTTCTTTTTCCTCCCTTCAGTTACTTTATTGTGGACTGTAACTATTTCATTAGCGCCAAATAAAATGTTTAACATCAAAGCACACATAAAATAAATTAAAGCAATTAAACGCAGGGAAAAAAATCAGCAATGCAAAACAATGGGAACGGGTTTAAAAGCACTTGCTAAGGAACCCGCGCTCTCTCTCTCTTCCTCTCTCTCTCTCTCCTTTTTTTTCCCCCCTCTTTTTCTTTTTCTTTTTTTTTTTTTACTTATTTGTTTATTTACATTCCCAGTGCTCAATAAAATCCCGCATTCTTCCGGCCGGACCTGTGTAAAAGTGGTGTAATAAGAATAGGAAATACGCTGCAACTCCCCGTTAGGTGCAATGGCAATAAGCGCTCTTTCTTTCTGCCCTTCTTTCCCTTCATTCTCCATCCCATCCCCGCTGAAGCTGAAATCTTTAATGAAATATCTTCCTTTTATTTCACCCCCCGCCAACACACGATTTCCGTGTAATCATAGAGGCGTAGGATACCTTTAATAGGAATAGAAAAGGATGCGGAGAAAATAATGCGCCGCATTATTTTTTTTTTAAATAATCAGCATTTATAGTGCAGCAATTATTAGGCGGATCAAATAGGATGGGGCTTGTTTCCCACGAAGATCCGACTTGGGGAGAAGATAAAACGGGGAAAACTGCATGTTCTAGCCCCTTTCTCAAATCCCCTGGGATATTTTCCCATAGCGGGAACTGGGTGCCAGAAAATTTCTCGGGGAATATTTTTATCCCCCTGAGGCAGGTACCTCTGCAATGAATGGCACCTCCGAATTTAATCTTTTTTTTTTTTTAAAGGATACCTTTATTATGCTAAATCGGTTGCATCCAACCTTATCGGCGCAAGAACAAACCTGACTGGTGAATTTTACCCACGCAAAAATCAGAGAGCGGTACAACTTAGAATCACTGAAAATCAAAGAAAACCAGACAAATTGCAATTAACAACGCGTGTGGGTGGTGTATGTGGGTTCCCCCAACCTCCCTCCCTCCAAGAACCATCATAAATACGAAGCGAGGCAAAAATACGCAGGTTTAGATTATGCTACAGATACAGACCGCATTTCCGCCTCAATATCACTATTTATCCCGATCTATTTCTGGGTTTCTCCAGCGCAGGCGGCTGCTAATTTTCTATTCCAGCTCAAGGATTCATAATGACACATTTAAATGAAATAAACCCATTGCTTTGACAGAGCTGATCCTTTAAAAGCGGGGGTGGGGAGGCATTGTTTTTTTTTAGTCTAATGTGCAAGGTGCGAGTCAGTCATTTCCATCAAACCCCCACCCAGGAACAAAAAAAAAAAACAACCCCAAAAACCCCTTTGCATATTCTTTTATTTTTGTTTTAAAAAAAGATGGCGGCTAAGAAAAAGACTGCTGTTAAAGCAGTCATGAAGAAATGCAATAAATTCCTTGTTGTTTTATGAAAATTTACAACTTTGTGATAGAACTTTATGAGTGGCTGGGTTCTGGGATTGGCCAGAGCCGGTCATGTGGACTGCTAACCGTGAACATGAACTTTTTATGATTTCCCATGTGGTTATATTGCACCATTCTTTTGGCCGCTGCACCTTGGGTCGGATCAGTGTCCTCTATAGGGCTCTCGCCTCTTTACATTTTTTTACTTTCGTGTATAAACTCGATAGGGCTAAAAAGGGGGTGAGGGGGGGAAAAAAAGCACATACCCACATCCACACACACCCACGCACACAAAGGCAGAGTTACATAATATCATCATTATTATTCTTTTTTTTTTTAATTCCTGTGTTAATTTGCCTGCTGATTTGGAATCTCAGTAGTAATGGAGGGGAAGTGGAGATTCTGTGCCGAGTGGAGGCTGATATCATTTTTCAAAGAGGGAAGTTACTCCATTTTCTATGCAAATGACAGAAATGCAAGAAGCTATCACAAGTCAGAGAGGCAATCGACGGCTATCAGGTTGGGACAATATTTGTCAGCTAACAGATAAACAAACGCTATTGCTTCTTTTTTTCTGTGTGTGTGTTTTTTCCCTTTTATACCACAGAAATGGACGTCAAAAGGTAAGGGAACAATCTATGATTTTTTTTCTACATTTGATTTTTTTTTTTTTTGCTTTGAGTAAATGCATTTCTCAAACTCCCCACTCCTCCCCCTCCTTCTCCTCCCCCTAGTCCCCCCCCACCCCCAAAAAAAAGATAGAAAGAAAGAAAGGGAGGGTGGGAGGGGGGAAGGAAGAAAGAGAAAGGGAAAACACTCAGGGAGGTTGGGAGATGAAGCTAAAGATAAAATCTATTTACGTGAGATTTTTCTCTAGGAAGTGCATGGAATAGGAAGAGAGAGAAAGAGAGGAAGAAAAGGAGAAAATAAGATACAGAATATCTGTATCTGTAAGTCAGTCAAGTCACCTGGCTAGAGTAGATGTCTGGGTTGGAATCAAGCATAATGGAGCACCTCGGTGATGGTAGCTTTTAGAGACTGCTTAAAAAAAAGATACCAAGCCCTGTGTGGATTGTTGTCGTGCTTTATTTTCCCTCCCTAGCAGTATTATCTCGCCAGTTCGCCTGTCTCCAGGCGAGCCCAGTAATTTGGAAGCCAGTTGGGTTTTGTGGTGCTCTCCAGGGTCGTCCTTATGTGGGTGGTTTCTTCGTAGGGGCAGATCGCTGCACTCCTGGTGAATAAGGGTCTGGAAATTAGAAAATAATATCATCAGAATAATCCGAATAAAAACAACAAAGAGCTGCAGCGCTACGAGGAGAAATTTTCTCTCCCCCCCACCCCATTTCCCCACCTCCAGTGAAACTCCCCAGTGCAAGATGACGTTGTAATGAAATGAAACGGGTTTGCATTGAATCGCGTGCTGAAGGGCTTCTAATACCTGTCTACGGATTATTATTTAAAACCACCTTCCCATCTTCCTTTTCCCCAAACTGGCCACCGGATTATGAGAAATTATGTTCTTCGGTTCCTTCCAGTTGCATATCTCCTCAGACACCCGAAAGACTTGCTTTGGTTTTAAGAAAATAGTAGTCCAGAAATGCACGTCATTTCGAAGGGGGCTATCTTTTCCTCCCACCGCCTTCTAGATCTCAGCACTTAAAAAAATAGGCACGCTGCTCTGGTTCCCTGGTGCTTTGTAAATAACCTGGTGTCTGAGGCTTGTGCATGTAAAAAGAGATTGATTCAAGAACAAACATCTCCATTAGTTAACCATTAAAATTTTTATAACAGGATGATCTATATCGGCTCGCTTGACTCTCCCTATTTTGTGGTCCAGAGTAAATTATAGCCAGGGTGGAAATAATAAACAGAGATTAATTTCTAAAAGATATTTCTTGCTGGGGCTGTTATACTGTCATATATAACAGAGCATTTAATGCTGGTTTGAAGTTTCTTTCCTTTTTTTCCCCCTTTCTTGGAAGTCTATTGGTGTTTGGAAGATCTGTGGCTGTTCTTGAAAGGGGGTGTGTGTGCGGAAATGATGCTGTTCTTCATTTCAGTGTCCCCATTCCTAAATGTATTTGTGTTGATGCTATAAGATCTCCTGTGCCAAACCACTTGTAGAACTCAAAAGATAAATGTCATAGCAAGTAAGTCTTTTTAATCACTTTAACCCGGGCACCATTTAATGTTTGATTGTCTAGGAAATCTAAATGTTTTCGCGAGAACATAGATAAGTTGCTAATTAAGGAATTCCTATATTTTAAACATCACCTAGTTGTTTATTTTTCAAAACGGAAAGGTCTATTTCTCTTTATGTCTCGCCCCATTATATATTGCTCTCCGGCTTACTCAGCTCCATTCCATACTATCTGCTGCCATCTACCGTCTGATGCGAGAAAACTTCAGTGGATTTAAAGGGTTTGCGGTGATTAATATCCCCTGAAACTCGTGCACAAGTCTAGGATTTCGGTTTTCCGCTTTTATTTTTCAAGTCACTGATTATTCTTGGGTTGCACGGTTGTGTGTGTCGTGGACAAGGAGCAAAAGGGGCAGGGGAGGGGAACTGTCATTCATCCATGAAGCACATCTCAAAGACAGTTCCACGTTGAGGCCTGCTGCAATGGTGTGAATTTTAAGATATATATGTATCTGATTATGTACACATAAATCTGGAGGGAGTGCTATCTGCCTGCCTGCCTACCTGTCTGTCTGTCTGTATGTCCAAGTCCCATAGAACTACATGGACTACAAGAAAAAAGCAAGCTGGTTGTTTCCTAAGAGTGAATCGGTCCGGGAGTCTTGTAAAATGCAATAAGTAATTACGTGAGATGAAAATTTAAGGCAGTTAATCATAACACGAAGGAATCTTTATTTACGGCTCGGAGTGATCGTTTTGGAGGGGTCTGGAGAAGATATGTCAATTAGTGTACACAACGGCGAGGCGGTTGCTGGGGAGGGGAGCAGAGAGGAAAGGCAGACGACGACTCCCTTTTAAGTTACAGTAGCTTAAAGGGACAATGCAAGTCTGTTATTTTTAAAAGGTTTCTCTCTCTCTCTCGTTTTCTTCTACTACCCCACAGTTTCCTGGCAACTGTTTACGTCTAGACCAATGACATTCTCCTATAAGAAAGAGAGATGCCGAGAGACTATGCTAAAAAAAAGTTTCTGCTTTTGGCTAGCAACAGCCGTGATTAACTTGTTCCATTTTGTAACTCCTAACACCCCATCGCCTTCTCCATTCAACCTGCATGCTCCGGGCTTTGATATTTCCCTCTCCCTCTCTGATTGCTTATTTTCAGTTCTCCTAGCCAGATTACTTTCCTTTAGCGGAAATAAGGTAATATAGATACATTTTTACTACCCCAATCTCCTGCCCCCAACCCCTTTCTCGCTTTTTTATTTATTTTTTTGTTAATTATTAGCTGCACTCTTTAATGGAACAATGGTAGATTATTATTGCTCCTTTTCAAAGATCCCATTAAAAAGGTTATTATGCACTGCACGGGAAGTCAGGTAAATTAAACTTAAATTGCTGGAAATTAAGTTTCAAATGGTTATGTGCTGATGGAGAAAGAATATTTTTTTACACCTTGAGGGGTCATTGTTTGAAATGTGCCAACATTGTGGCGGCAAACATGACTTACGCCGTGTTTCTAATATCAATTTGAGTGGCTATTTATATTGCAGACGATCTTCTCCACTGATAATAGCTTTATATGCCTAAATACAGTAAAGAGGCTTTTCAAGTGTTTTCTTAGTGTTCGTTGGACTTTATGACTGCAATAAGTCTCTTGATTGGGAAGATCCCGCAGCGATTTCACTTCAGAAGCCTAGCGAATTGCAAGCCCACATTGAAAGCCCTTTTTTATTGGAACCAACTGCACTTAACTTTCCACTAAGTTCTGAATTGGTTTAGCTTTTCCGCCAGCAGGGCTCTGATCTGTTTGGCTTTGGAAATATTTCGGGGTTGTTTTAATCCCCTAATTTATCTGTGGAGTTGGAGAGCAGGAGTGAGAAATGTGTGACCAAAAAATAATAATACAACCTTCTCCCAACCCGAATGTACATATTGTAAATACGTCAGGAACTGGGGAGGGGGGGGCAGGTTTCTCTTTTAAATGAAACATTTTTCTTCCTCCTCCTGCTGTCTAGCCACTACACCACTTAACGGCTTGCTTTTTAATAAACCCTGGGATTATTTTGTAAGCAAATGCGGTCCAGAAATCAATGGGAATATCCAAAGAAATATGGTTGGAAACCACATAGTTCAGGGCATAGACACTGCAAGCTGTATCAGCGCCTGTGAGGTTTAGATTTGTCGCTACCCATGCCTGGCTGCCTTTAAAGACATAAAGAGACCAAACCTTTTCACCCTCCCTCCCCCAGTGATTTACCTTCAAAATTTAGCCAGTAACCCAGGACAGGGAAAGGGTGGAGGTGTTGGGATGGAGGGAGGGGGGATTTAGGATAACTTTTTAAAAATAGCTATTAACATAATAGCAGTGATCAGTTTTCTGTCAGGCACACAACTCCCTGTCATCGGATGCGTTTCTGAGTATCTGCTGCAAACAAGCAGCTTGTAACTGGTAAACAAATGCTGTTGTCCTTCTCAATCTAATGACGAGGAACACTTGAAGAACCATATTTCCCCCCCAAAGCGGAGCCAAAGATCAATACGTTTTCACCCAGTTTTCTCCCCTTTATCGTTCCCCCCATAAATATCTCTAGACTTAAGTGGAGCCACCTTTGCAAACCCAGAGGGCTCCAGCCTCACTCCCAGACAGTCTCAACCACCAGCAATAAGCAATTAGCGAGAGGCCAGTTGCAGTTAGTGGATTTTATTTTTGTTCTTGCCAATAAAAATAAAAAGGTCAAAGTGACCACAGTCCAACGCTGCGAAAAGTCAGGCTTCGCCAACACCGCTCTGGAAGGAGCTGTATTTCTTATAAGCGCAGCATCCCCGCGTTTTGGGAAAACACATTTTTTCCACTTATTTCCAGGGGCTATTACTTTCCACAACAAGAATCCTCACTCAGAAAGCATTACAGGGGGAAAAAAAATCTAGAGTGTTTGTTGCATGATCACAATGTGTCTGTTACTCACTCGTTTCATTATATCAGGCATTCAAACTTCTCACCCAAAATCTGCATGCTGTGCGAGTCATCGTAGGTTTTCTCGGGGTTTTTTTTTTTACTCTTACACAAATATTGCGCAACTTTCTAATCAAATGTCTGAGCTCTTTGGCTCCTGCGAGCAGCCAACTTCAGGCTGCTTAATGTATTCCTCTCACTCTCTTTCTCTCTTCCCCTCCTCTCACCCCCCCCCCTTCAATAGACAGTCAACTTTCTCTTTTAATCCCATATTCTTCCTCTTTTTCATGCCAATAAAGCAGACCTACGTAGGTTTGGGTCCACTCCATACACAAAGGAAAACTCTGCAAGAACAAATATAATAGCTACCAGTCAGAAAAGGGGAGGGCGAAGAACTACTTCCTTTACATGTTATTTCCTTGAATTATAAGGATTACGGTCAGTCGACGGCTAGTTGAAGCGGTGGCATGAAACAATCTTGGCTTTGCTGCTGTAAACACGATGTTTAAAATAAATTAGCTCGTAATAAGATACCAGTTTCAGACGTACTTAACCCCCGTCAGGGAGAGTTCTGCAGTGACCATGTAATTATGTGTAATTCTAGAGTAGGAGCAGACCCAATCAAGACTATGGGAGTCTATATTAGAAGTCTAGTTAATTTCTTTGCATAGAAGAGAAGAGAAGAGAATAGAGAGAAGGAAGGAAGGAGTTTCTGTAACTCAAACCGATCAATTTTTAATTTAATTGTTTAGTGAGTTTCTGTAGAGCAGGGTTACATTTCCACAGCCCCAGAGGTAGGACAACATATTAAAATCCACATATACCTCAAGTGTACAGAAATCTGAAGAGCAGTGCAATAGCCACTGCGAACCCCACCTACTGCTAATGAACAAAAGCGAACCTTAGAGCCACGGATCCCAGAGCCCGCTCCGCTCAGGGGGTCTTTCCCCCCACTTTCAGAATGACAGCGACTTTCGCTTGCCTTCTGTAAGACACTTCACTTGATTCCTCATTACCGTCCATGAAGAGATGTTCCAGTCGTGGGGACCGACCTCGATGGGAAGCATGATCAAAGATAAAAGCGGGATCGTGCCTCACTTTACAGTCAATAGACCCACCAAACAAGAGCGTCCCCTGCTTTAAAAAAAAAAAAATCTCCATCGGTGACAATCAATAAAGGACAGCTCTTGACCGTAACCCAGCGCAGCCTTTAACTAGGAAGGGCCGGGCACGGATTTGGTATTAAGCCTAAAACGCAAGAGGGCACAATTCGATGCACAGATCTGGAGCTAGCGGACTATTTAGCCCGGGATAATCGGGCTACTTCGATTCCCATTCATCTCCCAGTCTTGCAACTCTGGTACAGAATAAATGAAAAGCGGAGAATTTGAGGAGGCGGGCGCGTGCTGCTTTCAAAGGAAACACGCTCTCTGCCAATCTACGCTAATTAGATAAATATGAAAAATAAATTACCAAAATTAACTCCCCCCAGCACACACCAGCGCGCGCCAAACCTCCCACCCTAACCCTAAGCGAAGGAAACAGATGAGATCCACTCCCCGCAGGCATTCATTACACACATAAAGAAATAAAAGTTTTTTTACAAATCCCAGAAATGTCCCCCGATCTGTTATAGATCATTGGCAGGCGCCAGGGGTTAAACTTTGTCAGAACAGAGAGGATTAACTTTCTTTTTCCCGCCCACACAGGATATTTACATATATATCTATATTGCTCTCTGCGTGTGTGGGGGTGTGTGTGTGGGAGGGTGTGTGGCTTATATACATATTAGCTTCTATATATATATATAGTATACATACATATATATGTATGTGTGTATTAAAGCGCCAGCCGTTCCGGGATTTATTTTTTGCGGATATGTGTTTGGTTAAGGGGGTGCATTTCTGTTGTTTAAAAGGGAGGAAAAAAAAGGGGCCGGCTGGTTTGTTCTGGGGTCCCTCGTGGAATCCAAGCCCCTCATGGGTGCTATTTTGCAATCTCAGGCTCCTGCTATTGGTCAGTCCATGATCAGATGGTTCTATTTCCTTGTGTCCCTTCACTGGCACCCAGCCATCCCCCTTCAGCTAAAACCCAATCTCCGATATACTACTAATAGCTAAACCACTTGGACTATAAAACACAACAAATCATAACGCCAGGGAAGGACGGCTGCCTCCTCCCAATGAGTTCTTATTTTGTCAACTCTACCTTCCCGGTGAGCCTGGCCGCTGGGCAGGAGCCCTTCTTGGGACAGATCCCGTTATATTCCTCAGGATATGCGGATCCTTTAAGACACTACCCCGCTACCTATGGAGCTACTGGAGTCCAGGAGAAGGGCTATCCCTCCTCTTCTTATTACCAGCAAGCTAACGGAGCTTACAGCCGGACCACAGCCTGTGACTATGGGACAGCTGGTTTTTACAGGGAGAAGGACCCTGCCTGTGCCATCTCCAGCCTGGAGGACCAGGGGCAGTTTGGCCAGGATCAGCGGAAGTCAGACTGCGCTCAGAGCAAAAATGTGTTCGGGGAGAGTGAGGAACAGAAGTGCTCCACGCCCGTCTACCCCTGGATGCAGAGGATGAACTCCTGCAACAGTGAGTTACTCTTCTCTCTCTCTCTCTCTCTCTCTTTTTAATTTCTCCTCCCCCTTTTCATATTTGCACACACACACACACACACACACACACACACGCACACGCACAGAATCAGGAAAAGCTGAACAGGACACTAACTTCCAGCGGACCAGACAAGCAACACGCGAGACTCAATAAAGTTGCTCCTGACACACACACACACACACACACACCCACACAGACACACACACACAAACTTTATGCTGCCCGAGTCTTTATCCCCCCTACCCCCCTTTCTCTTCTCTCTTCCTTTCCCCCAAGTCTTTCACTAGATCTTTAACCAGAAATAAAATGCCCAACTTTGGGCCGTATCTAGTCATGCCTGGTTCCCCCCCCGCACCCCCCCTTTTTTTGCGCTCCAGTTTTTATGTCACTCCGTTAAACATATTTCTCTCTCTCTCTCTCTCTCTCTCTCTCTCGGTGTTAAGAGAGAGAGAGTGAGGGAAAGATCTCTTCACAATCAGATCCGGATGACTTTACACGCACACACACACACACACACGAGCGCGCGCGCGCGCGCACGCAAGTACGCGCACACATACACACACATCTATCTTGCTAGCTAGCCGGGAGGGGGTTCAGTAATATAAAAGTGTTTAAATATTTGAAAGGAGAGGACTACATTTTTAATGCAACTCACACATAATGAAAAGTCTGCCTGAGGAGGAATTCTTCCCTGTGATGTATGGCTTGTTTAAGTGCCATCTCTTCCATCAAAAAAGTAAATACAGAAATAAATAAATAAATGCACACATATGTACGGGGCACTCGCCCCCAACCCTGCACCATCGCTCCCCTACTCCCCCTTCACCGTGTTTAGATGCATTATTTCTTGCCTTTTAAGTTCCAAATTGATGTCCATTAGTGCAGGGACATAAAGTGTTGTATCCTCTTTAATGCACAGAGTTTGCCTAGATCAATACACTTCATTATTGCTTAAATGCTCAGCTCTATTACTGTTGCCTGTAAGGTGGAAAAACAGAAGTGGTAGGGCTCGGGGGGTGTTTGGGGGTGGAGGGGGCACCTTGCGATTTTCCATAATGCAATAAGCGACAGTAGCAATCTCCTCGGAGCAGCGCACTGGAATATCAGGCAACTTCTGCATTAACCCTTCAGGGGCTGTGTTTGCCTTAGAGCAGAGCAGCAGGGAGAGCTTTGCAGCAACGCAAAGGGCTCTTTCCCAGGCCAGCTAGTCACTCTGGAGCCTTTGCTTTGCAAAGGGGCATTCTCATGTCGCCGGAGCATTTCTTTCCCCTCTCGTTAGAAGGGGAGGGAGAGCAGAGGAAGTCCAAAGCACCCGCACCCCTTTCCCTGCCCATACCCCTTAGCTGTGGGCTAAGCGGCCAGATCCCTGGCATTGTTATGCATATCTCCCACTCCAATTAACGCCTGTGTTTTCTTGTCCCCCCCCCCCCCCCACCCCATCCCCCCAACCTTTCCCTGTGTAACAGGTTCATCCTTCGGGCCCAGCGGCAGGAGAGGCCGGCAGACCTACACCCGCTACCAGACCCTGGAGCTGGAGAAGGAGTTTCACTTCAACCGCTACTTGACCAGGCGCCGCCGGATCGAAATCGCACACGCACTTTGCCTGACAGAACGACAGATCAAAATCTGGTTCCAGAACCGGAGGATGAAATGGAAAAAAGAGAACAAACTGCTCAACTCTTCGCAGCTGAGCGCGGAGGAGGAGGAGGAGAAAGCGACGGAGTGAAAGTACAATTTAAAAAGGAAAAAAAAGGAGGGAGGGAGAGAGAGAGAGAGGGAGAGAGAAAGAAAGAGAGAAGATCAGGGAAGGTGGAGGGGACAGAGATGAACTGTAAAATAGCGGAGACAGTTGGAAGATTCTGAGCCCTGGGACTCCTGTTTCAATAATCTGTCACAATGAGGCTTCTTAGCTAAGTTTTTCCCCCCCCCTTCCTTTCTATTCCTCCTTCCAAAAAAAAAAAAAAAAAGACTCTTACCTGTGTTTCTCCCCTTTGGTGTCCCTGTTAGTAACTGCTAACTCTTGTATTTAATGGAGGTGATGCAATATATGTCATTTTTGGTGTTTATTGTCTTAATTTTGTAAAAATGTTTCATGCACGATTGACTTACAGATTTTTTTCTGTTGTTTTTTTCTTTTGGTAAATTAATCAAGCCCTGGGGTCTTTGTAATTAGTTTCTTTCTTTTTTTTTTTAAAAGAGAGAAAACCCTACTGAAGGAACGAGTACTACCTAAAAGAATGCAAAAGCAACAACAAAAAAAGTTCTATTTTATTAATTTTTTGTACGTGTTGTGTTTGTAGCTTGTCTTAGGTATGTACATGGAATATTCTAATAAAAACAAATATTCGATCTCATGCCCCACCACCTTGGTATTATTTTCTCTCCCTCTTTCTATGGAAATATGCCAGCCCTGGGAGTCTCCGGGCTGGGAAGCAAAAGCAATGCAGTTCGCTGTGTGTGACACTGGCTTCTAATCTGCAAGGACAGGCAACTCTAAGCACACGGAAGTTACAGTTGGGAGATAAATCTGGTTTTCCCCCTTTTTGTCTAATCTTAAATGCAAGACCTTTCACCGACAGTATCTCCTCGCTGACATTCTGCTTCAATATCGCTCTTTTTTATTGTTACAGTACAAAGAGTTATGACGAAAAGCTCTCCATATACATAATAAATCAAGGAAACAGGCAAAAAATATGCTCTCATCTATCCACCAAAGATACCTAACATTTGTCTAGCATCTTTCAAACATCTGTTCCCTTATTTCATTTTCCAAAATCAGAGAGAGAGAGAGGTTGGGCTGATTTCAGGCTTTGGGGTTGTTTTTATTTTTAGTGTTTGATTTCCACCCCACCCCCCAGTTGAATCCAATACCTTCTAACTTTTTCCCTACCAGATTATGGGAATTCTTTAAGCAAAACATAAAGACAGAGCCAGCTAAAGCTAGCTCGAGCCTTTGAAATAGGAATTCTTTTGCTGAGAGTCTTACAACTGGTTCTTTTTAAAGTACCGACTCGCCTTGAATGGGACGGGGCAGGTTTATGATCTGTACTAAGAAGCCTAGGGGCAAATTATATCAGCCTGAAGGAAAATTCTCTTCGATTTTTTTTTATTTTGGATTAAACGAAAGGAAGTGGGCTCTTTCTTCTCTGATCGGCAGATTAAAGGCAGAAGCTTTGCTCAGCTCCATTCTGATATTTGCTAGCCCTTCGCGGGAGAATATATATATTCTTTATATACATCTTTACCTCATCTCCTATCCCTACCTCCCCACCGAAATCTACCTAGGTGCGAATGCACTCCCTCCTGTCACGAGCTGTTTTAATGTCAGTCACTTTTAAAATCAATTCATGCAGAAGCTCCACAGCTGTAGGACATTTACTATTATTGCTACTCTTTTCATTGCCCGTAATTATTATAATTATATGTCACTTTCAATATGGCGCATAATTTCCAATGAGTTGCAGACAAGCATATGACATTCCTAAAGTGCCTTGGGAAGAAGAAGAAGAAGAAGAAGAAGAAGAAGAAGAAGAAACGATTTAGCAACGCTGCACAAAGCAGGCTTCTTCCCCAACGTTGGTTAAATGTCAAGGTTGCCTTGCTCCCAAATATTTCTTGCAGTTTTGCAGTGATAGAAAGAAACAAACAAACAACACAGCACAATGCTTTATTTAAAGAGGAAGGAAAAGGCATGCAGGAGCGAGACTCTCTCAAATGCAGCCCTGTCAACCAGTTCGACAGCTTCCCCCTTCAGCCCCTCTCTGCATTTTTGACACCCCCTCCCCCACCCAGCCAGGAGCACAAGGTATTACTGTATATCTGATAATATGATCAGAATGTGGAGAAAACCAAACTTTCATTGTGCCAATGAAAATAAATGAATTGAATAAATAAAGCACATCTGGCTTGCTCCCCTCTCTCTCTCTTTTTTTCTCAAATATTAAGACACAGACCCGCCAGTCCTAAAGGTCATTCTTCTCCCCCCCCTTACCCCCGCCCCCACCTGGAATATCATGACAATAAAAGAAGGGAAATAGCTGAATAAAGATAACAAGCTGAGGAGGCATAGACCCGCGCGCACACAACTGAGAAGGGCTCTGAGCTGGAAGGGACAAGATAGTTGCAAAATAACATTTAAATAAGCAAGCGCCCCCCACCCCCACACATGCACACAAATCTGTCCTCCTATGTCCAGACTGGCAATATTTTATTGATTTCTTTGCAACCTAAGGACCCTCATGCTAAAAGTGCAAATTGTCACTAAATGACTTTCAAAAAAAAAAAAAGGCTGAGGAAGCAACCTCCACGCCTGCCGATCCCCCCTATCCCCAGTAGGTGGCGCGCTCCGCCAACAAGGAACAATCTCTGTCTTATGGATTTTTTTTTTTTTTGGAAGCCTTGCATTGACTTGGGCCTAACGATTCTCAGATCGTCATTATTTGTAACCATAGAGCATGAATTACCTCTTGAGGTCATCAGTGAGAATTTACGACTGGTCAACAAAAGCACGTGATTCCCAAACGCCCCCCCACCCCCCATATTTGGCCGCATACATAGCAAAAACGAAGTACAGTGCATTGCTATAATTCATTAATACATCATAAATCGTCAAGCACAGGGTTATAACGACCACGAGCCACAAATCAAGCCCTCCAAAATAACCCAAATGAGCTCTTACTTTGTAAACTCGTTCTCAGGGCGCTATCCAAATGGCCCCGACTATCAGTTGCTAAATTATGGGACCAGCAGTTCTATGAACGGTTCTTACAGAGATTCAAGCACCATGCATTCCAGCTCGTATGGCTACAACTACAATGGGATGGACCTTAGCATCAACAGCTCAGCCTCTTCTAGCCACTTTGGGGCTGTGGGGGAAAGCTCCCGCGGCTTCCCTTCACCAGCTCAGGAGAGCAGGTTTAGGCAAGCGTCTAGCTGCTCCTTGTCCTCTCCCGAGCCCCTTCCGTGCGCCAACAGCGAGAGCCATGGAGGCAAATCTGCCCCGTCCCCCTCCGACCAGGCTACTTCTGCTAGCGCTAACACAAATTTCACAGAAATAGACGAGACCAGCGCGTCCTCTGGACCCGAAGAGGGCACTCAAATAAACAGCAGCATTCCCAGGACACAGACAGAACCCATCGCTACCTCCACAGCAGCAACAGAAGGGCAAACACCACAGATATTTCCTTGGATGAGGAAGCTTCATATTAGCCATGGTACAGCTACTTCTTCTTTTTTTTTTATTTTCACCCCTTTTCCCCCCACCCCACCCCCCTCCTCTTTCTTCCTTTCTTCCCCTGGCTTTATTTGAAGAGTCGACGGGGGCTCCTGATAAGAAATCCAGCTATTTACTGCCTCGTATTTATTTCTCCGATCGCTGGTTTTAAAACAGAAAGCTGTCTTTGGAGATGATTTCTCTTTCTCTTTCTCTCTCTCCCTCTCTCTTTTTTTTCCCCTTGCTTTCTCTCTTTTTCTGACCCGCGAACGGTGATGCTATTTTAATCTCTATCTAGATATGGATATAGAGATAGAAAAGGTAATTTAAAACAGCGGGGATATTTTTGATAGGGGGGGGCACGGGTGCGGGGGGGCGGGTGCTGAGGAAGGGGAGAAGTGATCATTAAAAATGGCAATATATGCACAGATGGGTCTCCCAGACATGTCTTATTCTGATGGTTATTTTGGTGTGTGTATTCTTGACAATGTGCTAATGACCCAATAAAAATTGCGAGTAGATACAGTGCACCGGGAACAGTGGTTTTCTTAATATACGTTTGGAAAAAAAAAAAAAAGAATTAAGCCAGTGGCGCACACAGAAAGACCACACAGACACACACACACACACACAAAATAGGTAGAATTAGAGATCCAGGCTCCCGTGTTAAATGGTGAAGGTAGAAGTGCCCGTGCCGGTTCGGAGGGACAGAAAGGGGCATCTACACGTGAGTGGGGGTGTGGGGGGGCGGTTATCTCCAAATAACCCACTGACGGTTCGCGATTGCTAGGGGAAGGTTAATCATTTGCCTTTGTGTATATTAAAGAGGAAAAAAAAGCAAGCAAACCACAAACCAAATGTTGTCCGTCTTATTCAGACATGACTGGACCAGACGGTAAAAGGGCCAGGACCGCGTACACTCGTTACCAGACGCTGGAATTGGAAAAGGAATTTCACTTCAATAGATATCTCACGCGCAGGAGGAGGATAGAAATCGCCCATGCTCTGTGTCTCTCCGAGAGGCAAATTAAAATCTGGTTCCAAAACCGGAGAATGAAGTGGAAGAAAGATAATAAACTGAAAAGCATGAGTTTAGCCTCTGCGGGCAGCGCCTTCCAGCCATAAATTATAGAGAAAGGGGGTATCAAAAAAAAGGGGGGGATAATAAAAGCAAATTTAAAAAGCAGCAGCCTATCTAAGTTTCAGAGTACTGTACAGTGAGGCACCTTTTTCGGCATGTTGTTGCTGTTTGAAACAACTGGTATGGTACTGTTATCACAGGACTGAGTTCATGTTGTGTTTTTAAATTTTTTTAAAATATTTTTTTTTAATTAAAGTTTATTTCCAGATGCTCCTCCATGCTCTTGATGTTCTTCTAAATGTTTGTGCCAGTGCTATCTTGATGCTCTCTGGAAAGCTAGCATGTTTTATGTGAGCCCTTTGAATGTTATAACTTATTTATAAAATGGATAACAGATACGGTTGTTTGTTTATTTGTTGGGTTTTTTTCCTGAGTTTACAGCTTCTGGGGGGAGGTCTTCTCTGCCTGAGCTAAAATCGGGGGTTCCTGCACTACAATAGCAGAAAAAAATAAAAAAACAAACAAAAAATGTAAAAAAAAATATAGCTCTTGTATCTTTTTGTCTTAAAATTGTCAAGTCTGTGATTTAGTTCAAACTCCAGGACATGGTTTCTAGTCCCAGACTAATTCTGAGACATGTTCTTAGACGTGGGTAAACTTCACTATTAAAAAAAATGTATAAAATTGGACCAACAATAAAGTGTTCCAATGTTTGTAAATACTAGAAATATTTCTGATGTGACTAATAGACGGTTTGTAGTGGGCAGAGTGAATGCAGTGTTATGTGTAAAATGGCATCTGTCATGTCTAGCTGCCTGTTAGTATTTTGCCAAGAAGCTTTTTGTATTTGTTTGTAGCTTTACTGGAAGTCAAATAAACGTCTCTGCTATTCATAAAGGCTCCTCTTTGCATTCTGTCCACCATATTTCGAGCCCCTGAGCTACTAATTCGCGATAGATGCTGAACACACGAGGCATGGACTGGCATGGGGCTCCGTCTGTGCTACCACCCCTTCAGAAACGCTACATAGTCCTCACTCCCCTACGGTAGCACTTTGGAAGCCCTCGGAAGCCCTTCACATCATGCTCTTGCTGAGGTGGAAAACAAAGGCACTCTATCGAGAAAAAACAACCTGTCGTATTTTCCAAACTTTGTCTCTTTAAAAAAGCCAGGACAAAACAAATCAGGATAAGAATAATACACCTCTCCAAAATCATACAAGACAAGCTCTTTGGAAGTAACTTCAGTTATAATAACATGATACAAATGCTTCCCAAATATACTTTATGTGCATTTCATGAACTGTCATAGATTACTGCTTAAAAAAAACACACGAGGCATATAGAGATATATAGATATATTTCTGTGCTATCCAGTTTCTAATTTCCTCTCCGCCCTCACCCCCACTTTAATGGGTTTGCTGGTTCTTATACCCTAGTCTTTGGTTTACCATGTAAATAACAGATTACAGTTCTGTAACTACTGAGACTGGCTATAAAGAGTCATTTTCGCTGCAGATAATTTAACAACTTCAAAAGTGGAAAAGGTTTCAAATTTTGCTATCCGGGGATTCTTACAAGGCACGACATCTTTCAGCTAAAGTCTCTCTTTTGGCAAAATGCCACTGACATTTTTACAATATACTTTAGGTTTTTTTACTCGTATCAAGTAAAGTTGGATCTTATAAACTTACCAAACTTAATCTCCCACTGTTTAGGTACTTCTTAAGTGACTTTGAGAGGCATGTGAGGTGGACTGTCAGATCCAAAACCATTTGCTCGCCTTCCCCTGATATTTTTTTTTTACCAATAGCAAACTATACCAAAAGTGGGTATGACATTTAGATGTCAAATGGATAGGGTTTTATCTAGAAGTTAGATCGTAAAAATCGCCCAGACCTCAGACAGATACCCCTCACTGGCTCTCAAAAGTCACGTGAGGTCCATAAAGTTAGTTTTATGGTTTTGGGGAGTTGACAATGTACAATATATTTCACATTCTCTAGAATGTTAAGTGACACTTTAACTGCTTGGTTTGGCTTGGAAGGGGCAGAAATGGGTGAGCACTTTTCCAGATGAGATAAAGCTTTGCAATTGCTGGTCTCATGCTTTGCTGGTCCAGTGTTCAGTCCAGAGGACCAATAGGCTGGGCTCCTGAAAGTAAGTCCTACTGAAATATTATCTGCTTAAACTATTTTAAGGGTTATATTGCTAAAGACTGAGTGGGGAGGAGGAAGAGGAGGAGGAGGAGGTGGAGGAGGAGGATGGCTCGCTTGCTCGCTCGCTCTTTTTTTACAGCTTTATTTCTCACTTTGCAAAGGTCCTCACTCTTCCACTCCTGAGCCCTGGGTGTTTCCCCAGGTTTCATCAAAGCTTTGGGGGCCCAGGAGGAAGCAACGCAAACTTTGCGGAGCGGGCGAGCGAGAATCCCGCAAAGATTAATTACGAGTCCATCGCAAAAGCCAGCCTAGCTTTGCCTGGGGACATCTGCACTTCAGACAAACTTCGATTTGTCCTTAGCTCGGTAAAAAAGGGACGTGCTCAGTTCCTGGAGGTTATTTCGTGCGTTTATGCTCCTTCCAGGCGCAGAGTTGGGCCAAGCCTTTGCATTTGAAGCCTCCTGCTGCATGCTGGAGCCCCTTGGGCTTTCTAACACCTTTACTTAATTTCATCGTGTCTCTCTTCCCTCCCCCATGAGCTGCAAGGACGTTTACGACCCCTTATTTGGCCTGTGTGCCCAGTCAAATATGGTTCCTAGGCGTTTTAGACTCTGGATCCCTATCGACAGTGCCCCTATGAGTTCCCTCGCTTGCTTGCACGCTGTGTGGCTTATCTCCGGGAGACATGGCCCCACTATGGCTCGAAAGGGGTTAAAATAAGCCCTAAAGATACTGCAGGTTTGCAAAGTGGAGGGGACTGGGGGGGTGGGGGTTGGCTAGGGGCATTCTAGCCTCATATTCCGGGCAGACGTGCTCCCGAAGTGAGGTTGTTTCTTGTCCCCAAAGAAGGTGTCGCAGTCCTGAAAAACTCATTACCGCCGCCTTTTTTTTTCCTTTGACCAAACAAAGTTTTTGGGGGAGGGTGTGAAACAGAGGTGCAGTGTTTGCCAGGGTTCCTGTCCGGGTGTCAAAGTGCTGGTAAAGGGCTGTTCTCTTTTATGTTCCTTGGGCTAAAGCCCACACAATAAAACTCCTGTCACTAAGTCGCGACCAGGTATTTTCCTTTGAAACCCTCTCTGGTTTATGACGGCTGGTACTGACAAACTTCTCTATCTGATTCTTTTGTCCTTAACATCCTCGTAGGGATGCTTTTATTTGATTGTCGTTTATTTTTAATCCAGGTGTTTAAATTAGCAGGGGGGGGGGCATCGCCCTCCTCTCTTGACCTCTCTTGCCTCTCTGCTTTTGTTTCTGCATCTTTAAAAAAGTTCAAAGTAAATATACTCTGAATAGGGCTGTTGTTTTTTCTCCCCCCACCCCCCAACCTCATTACAGGTCCTGGGGATCAGCCTTACCCCCCACCCCCCACACTCAAGCAGAGATTTTTAATAGCAGAGCAACATTTGGTGGACACATGTCTGTCTCCACACAAAGCAGCAGAACGTCACCATTTTGCACAGTGTGGAGGATAGTTTTCCCCCTTGCTCACGCAGTTTTCCCTGCCATTTAGTATCTTGGTTGTCTCAATTCCAACTTCTAGATTCACTTGGACCCACAAACTGACCCTGGTGTCCCCGCCTGCAGCCTGCCTGCTCTGAGAGTAGAGATACCGATGCAAATAGCACATTAAAATTCTGGCCCGGAGATCTTGGCATTGGGTGGGGAACAGAGAATAGGAATAGGGAGTGGATTTTCTTTTTAACGTGCTATTCTGAATAGTTGGCCGAGATATGTGCCTAGTTTGCAGGGCATGATAAAGAGGCTTCCAGGTTTTGAAAGCCCCTTTTTGAGTGGACTGGTCTCAAAAGGTGAACTTCGCAACCAGCCCGCCGCAGATCGCAGGGATCGGGCTGCTTGAGAAATACGGGAAGTGTCGAAGGGGGAGGCATGTTGGAGCGATAGGTGTGTGCCGGGCTACTAACCTGCTAATCCTCTCAGCATCTGACTTGTACTGATGGAAAGAAATAATTTAGACTGATGTAATGAATTGTAGCCAGTAATCCAAGTGCTTGCTATCATATCGCCTATCATGGCATATGACTGAAAACCTAACTGCACACCCAGGTAGACAGCAAGTTTGCCAGAACTGTCTGTTCGTCTGTCTGTACTTTCTCTTCTGTCTGTCCGTCCTTCATTTGCACTAATAGCATATTCCTCACATCTTGATCCCAGGGGGCTGCGCAGTCCTCTGTCTGTCCTGTCCCCGTCAATTTTCCCCTTAAAATCAGGCCTCATGTCGCAAAGCCTACGCTTTGTTGAAGTGAGATACCAGCAGCTTTAATCACACGGAATAAGCAACCTGTTAATGCGATGCAAAGGAGGATCAAAAGGGAACCAGACAGACAGGTCCATCTCCACTTGTAAATGCGGCTAAGAGCAAGAGGAATCTTATTCCTTGTGGATAATCCAGTGGTATTAAGACGTTGCACCTAATATGGCTAAAGCAGAATGGGGACATGCCTGTCCGTCTTCCCTATCCAGGGCAGCCACAACAACACGCCTGTCTTCATCCCCAAGTCACCTTGCGTCACCTAGGGACCTCAGTCCTTTACAAAAGTTTGCAGTGGGCTGAGGCAGGGCCTTAGGATACCCCCTAGGCATATTTCAAAGAACACTCCCTCCACAGCAACATTTCCCTTTCTCCCTGTACCTGGCACCAGTCACATCAAACACCCACCATCCCTCACTTGCCACCTCCATTGGGCTGGGTATCTTTCCGAGGCTGGGTTCAGTCGCATGGGTCTAGGCAGCTTGCGTGGGTATGTCTGGCTGCCACTTAGTGACAGAGAAGGTTTGGGATTTTTTTTTTCTCTTCGTCCTTAGAAGAAAGAAAGAAAGAAAGAATCCTCCCTAGCTGGTGAACTGAGGAAGTATAAAGAGAGTAAACAGGAAAAGAGAGCTCTGACCGTGTAGTTAGGCGAGGATTTCCATTGCATTTTTCATCCTCTCCCTGACTTAAATGGCACACATCAGACAGTGGAATAATTAGTTCTTCAGCAGCTGTAGGAGATAGAATAAATACGAGATACTTTACTGAGAGGCGAATAAATACGTGTATTTTTCACGAACGTGACTGTTGTTTTTACCAAAAAAAGGAAAAAGAAAATAGACCTTTTTTTTTAAAAGAACACATTCAGGTTGTCTGTGTTGGTATTAACAGTCCCGCCACGGTTGTGTGCGTGCGTATGTGTGTTTTGGGAAAGAGCTGGATGTGAAAAGGTACGGGGGAATGGGTGGGAGGTTTGTCAGGGGAAAATCGCTGTTTCAGCCAGAGGCATCGGACTAGATCCAAAGCCCAGGGAAGTCACAGGAAAATCCTCAGTGACTCGAGCTAGGCCCAGAGAGATCCCATTCACGGAGCACTTCCACTCCAGCATGAAAACCGGACAAAAGTGTCCAGGTTTTGCTTGTCTAACAGGCAGCTGGAGAATTTCCTTCCACTCTGGAAAGGATTCAGTGTAGTCTGGGAAACCGAGGGTGAGCCTGCTTGGCTCAGCGAAAAAATATATGTATATTTCTCGACTTATGCAGGGGAGCCGGGATCCAGTGCAGGGACAGATATCTATGGCAGGGTCCATCGATCGGGCGCCCAATGCTTCACATCTGTATTAATTAACCGCCCCCCCTCCCAACACGCGCACACTTCTCCCCCCAGCCCCGTCTGAACGTATTTCAAACTGACTTTTGGAACAGAGACAACATGGTCACAACTCCCCGCTTTCCCCAGCTCTGTACAAACAACCCGGGCAGAGCCGGCCTGTCACAAAGTCTGTGCAGTTCCCTCCGTGGATCAATCAGCTATTCAAAAGCGACCCGCTAACGAAGGAGGGAAAGCTATAGGTGGGCATATACATCCACAGAGGGAGCCCACAGGGCTGCAAAAACCTTTTGGCTTCCTATACTTGAGTTCAACAATAGCCAGGAGATTTCAGAGGGACAACAACAACAAAAAAAGCATGGACTAGATATAGAGAAAACGATCAAACATCAAAGAGGAGTCAGTATTCCCATGTCTTTTCCACACATCCCCCAACCCCGCAATGCCCTGCCTTAGCATCATGCCTTCTTTTCTAAGCAAATTCGGAAGTATTTTTTAATGCTTTTTGATCGTTTTCCTGCAGGCTATTATTCCTCCTTCTCCCCCCACCCCAAAATAGGTGAAATCATTTTTATTTCACCCCATTATTTCCTTTTAGATATAAATAGAGCCACATACAGATATACATAAAACCAAAAATAAAATAAAATAAAACTAAAATAAAATACAACCCTGAGCCGGGATAACGCAGTTACAGATGCGTCTGATGTCTTATTTTATTCAACAAAAAGTGATTAAAATCTGTTAAAGGATTTAATTAAGAGAATTAAATGAAAAGGAAGGGGCACAAATGAGTTGGAAAAAAGCAAAGCTATTCTAAACGATTAAATCGCCATTTTAACAGTATAATGGGGTTTGCATACTGAAAGAGCGAAATCAGAGCTCATATCTCATCAATAATTCATAGGCGAGAGGGATCATCCGGAGGTCAGCAGACGTGTACAGAACAGCGCCTATCTAGGAGGGCGAAGGCACCATATCAAAATACAATAGTTATATCTCACCCCTAAGCCGAGGGCTGGGGGGCCACATCTTTAAGAACAATATAAACTGAGGATATTTTTTGCAAGAAAAAAACCCACAAAACCCCCTCA